AAAAAGGCAAGAGAATGCCCCACCACAAGCCAATAAGGTGGTGGCAGTGGACTGGCACAATGTGCTGCAAGTGAAGAGAAAGGGTGAGGAAGTGGTGCCAGATGCACATGTAAGAAGCATCTGGGACTTGCAGCAAAAGGGCTTTGACATCATCCTCTTGTCCTTTGCAGGGTGGGCAAGGGGCAAAGAGGTGGTGGCAAAGGCCAAGCAGCTCCCAGTGAAGTGGACAGATGTAATCATCTGTTCTGACCCCACTGGAGAGTGGGGGAAGGCAGCATGGTGTGAATACTTGGGGGCCACTTACCTGGTGGATGACAACAGGGCAATCTGCCAGGAAGCCTTGGAAAAAGGCCTGACTGTGCTGCCTGTCATGACAAACTATGAAGACCACAGGTGGTTTTCTGGACCTGTGTTCAGGAGCTGGCCTGAGGCAGCAGCATGGCTCGAGCAGTTTGGCAGCAGCTCTTGAAAAAAGAGCAAGACAAAACAGCAGGTTGAGAAGCTCTTGAAAAAAGAGCAACCTTTGAAAAAAGGTTGCACAAAGACAGAGCAGCAGTAGCAACAGCTCTTGAAAAAAGAGCAACCTTTGAAAAAAAGGTTGTACAAAGGCAGAACTGCAGTAGCAACAGCTCTTGAAAACCTTTGAAAAAAAGGTTGTGTACAGAATTTTTAACACAGCAAAAGCTGCTTTTCTGTTTTGCAAAGCACCTTCAAAATGAAGGAGCCTTTGCAAAAAAGGCTGCTTTCCTCAACAGCAGTGCTGTGAATGCAGCAGAGCTGTATGCAGAAAAAATGGCACTGTTTATCACAACCACTGTTCAACAGTAGTAGTGAGAATGGATGTCCTTAAAGACATGGGCAACCAGTTTTTCATCAAAAAACAAAAGTGATCAACAGTGATTTTTCTTATATTTTTTATCTTGCATTTTTATTTTTGAAATTGTTGAAGTTGAGGTTTTTGGTAGCCAATCTTTTTGTGCTCAAGAGAGTAGAGAGTGATGGGAAAAAAAGGCCAGCCAATGAAAGGAAAACCCTTGAAAAAAGGGTCAGCCATGAAGGCAATGAAAAAAGGTGGCAGGCATGCCAGCAAGCTCAGCTCACAGCAGCTCAAGAAGCTGGGCAGCATGTCTTTGAAAGATAAAATAGAAAAGGCAGGTGAGCATGAAACTCCAGAAGAAGCTGGCAAATCTTTTCAGAAGATGATGAGCAAGGTTGAGAAGAGCAACCTGAACAACAAATACCAAAGGTTTCTAAAGGATCACCCTGAAGAGGAAGAAGCATACAAGAATGCTAGCAAGCCAACCAAAGGTGACATGAGCAGCTTGTGGCTCTTGAAAAAAGAGCATCCCAAGTTCATGAACCTCATGCAGTGTGTAGAAGGCAGCTCCACTGCCAGGCGCAAGGAAAAGTGGGTGAGTGAGATGGTCATCCTCCAGCAATGGACCTGGGATGAACTGCAAATGCATTTGCAGTCAGGTAGAATCCAGGCAAGAGAATGCCCCACAACATATGGTGTGTGGGAGTATTGCGACATGGCAGCCTGGACATCTACAAAGGAGGCCTCTTGCAAAAAGAGGATCACTATGGGGCAAGAACATGAGGCAAGTGATGAAAATGAAAAAATGTTTGAATACTGGCATAAAGGACACCTGCAAAGCAATGTTGCCATGCTGACCAACTTTGCTGAAGGCAGCAAAGGTACCAAGGGCAAAGGAAAGAACAAAGGAAAACCAAAAGGTGGCAAGGGCAAAGGCCACAGGGAACCCTTGGCAATCGAAGATGGAAATGCCGATGATGAAGAGGAAAAGCCTCCCAAAGAAAAAACTGCAGAAGAGCAACACAAAGAAGCTCTCAAAAAGGCAAAGAAGGCAAGGGACTTGACAGCCTCTGTCTGTGCTGACTTGGAGGATTGCTTGGGAAAAGCAAATCCATACCTCACCAAAGCTGCCAAGCAGAAGGGTCTGAAAGACCAGCAGATTTTGAAGGCACAAACAAATAAGTTGAAAGAACTGCTGGCCAAAGAGAACATGCCCCTGTCAAAGATGAAGGCTTTCTTGCAAGAGAATGCCACTACAGTCAAAGATGTCAAGGACACACTGAAAGAGCTCAAGCAGCTAGCCAACAAAGCCAACAGTGTGGCCAGCAAGGCAAGCAAGGCAAGTGCCAAGACAAAGTGATCCTTTGCAGAAAAGGTTTTGTATGTGCCTTTGCAAAAAAGGCATTTCACTCTTTGAAAAAAAGAGAACCCTTGGAAAAAGGGACCCTTTGGAAAAAAGGGTTTTGGGGAAGACCCCTTCAACAGAAGGGAACCTTTGCAATAAAGGTGGCCTCCCTCTTTCTTGACCTTGAAGCAGTAAAGCTGTTGGAAAAAAGTTGCATGTGCTTGTTTCTGTAGGTGTGGGTGGGGATGCAAAGGGTTTCTGGTAAGAGCTTGTTTCTGCTGCCATTTTCAAGGCAGAGGCTCAAGCCATGACCACACCAGAAGCCATGGTTGAGGGTAACAATCTTTGAAAAAAAAGATGTCAGACAAACAAGGTACAAAACGGTTGAGAGGCTGGAAAAAAGATCTAGCAACAGGCTTTGCAGAAAGGCCAGATGCACAAGAACAATTGCCCAGCCCATTTGCAACAAAGTTGCTGAGCCATTGGGCACATGGAAAGCTAAGTGCCAAAGGCGTCCAAGAGCTTGCCCACCTGGCTCAAATCGGTGGCTGTGCACATGAGGAAGTGGCAACCATTGCCAGGGCAGGCAATTTTGGTGAAAACCCTGGGAATTGCACCAAGGCATTGATGAGTGCATTCTTGCCAAATGTGGGCATCCCACCAGGGTTAGACATTGAAGTTCCTTGTCTGGATCCTAAGACCAGCAAGGAAAGTGTCACCACAGTCCAGGTCTTCCTTCCACACAGCATGTTTTCTGCACTGGCAGAGAACTACCCAAGGAAATGGGAGCAATTCTTTTGCACTCATGACTTGGCTGCTTTCTGGAGCCAGGTGGAAGCCAAGAAGGATCAGAGATTGAAGGGACACCCCTTGACAAAAGGGGAAAGGTGGCAGGAGACTACAGTACCTCTCTTCTGCCATGGCGATGGAGCAGAGTTTCAAACCAGAGATAGTTTGATGATCTACAGCTTTGGCAGCATCCAAAATCTTCTGGCCAGCTTGGACAGCCACCTTCTCATGGCATGCTTTCCAAAGTCATGCACTACACCCCAGACATGGCAGCCTCTATGGGAGTATCTGGCTTGGAGCTTTGAATCCTTGCAAAAAGGATACCATCCCACAAAGGATTGGACAGGAGAACCCTTGAAAAAAGGGTCGCCATTCTACCCCATGAGGGGTCGCCCTTTGACCCCAGGCACTTACAAAGGTACTTTGTGGACCATCATTGGAGACCAGGAGTTTTTCTCCAATCACCTTCGCTTACCACATTGGAGGAACAAGCAGCCATGTCACATGTGCAATTGCACTTCACAGGATGGAGATCTTCCATATACATGCCTGGAGCCTGAGATATTCACTTTGGTGGACAATGACATGGCCAAAGCCCATCCCAGATCAGATCACCCAATTTTCAAGATTCCTGGGATCACAAGCCTCATGTGCAGAGGTGATGGACTTCACATCCTTTTCACCAAAGGGATATATGCCCACACTCTGGGCAGTATTCTCCACTACTTGTGCTGGTACGACCCTATACATGGCTTGCAAAAAGTCAAACCAGCAAACAGACTTGCAATCATCTTTGCAGAGGTACAAAAGCACTACAGAGTGCAAGGTGCTGGCACTCAGTTGACAAACCTGAAGCTCAGCATGTTCACCTCTGAGAAGGCACCGCACCAGAACTATGCATCCTTGGATGCCAAGGGTGGGGAATGCAAGTGGCTGGCACCAGCCTTGTTGGAGGTCATCAAAACAATGCTGAGTGATGACCTTGACCACCATGTGCACATGAAACAGTGCCTGGAAGCTTTGGTACAGCTGGTATGCCTATGGGACTCAGCACCAGCTTTTCTGAGTGATGGCCAGTGCGAGATGGTCATCACTCTGATGAATGCCTTCCTGCAACATTACACATTCCTCAATGACTGGGCCAGCAAAGAGAACAGAAAACTGTTCCACAAAGTCAACAAACATCACAGCTTCATCCACCTGTGCCTGGGGGCAGGAGAACTGAACCCCAGATTGCATTGGTGTTTTAAATCAGAGGATTTTGTTGGTCACATCTCAAGGCTAGGACACTCATGCAGCCCAGGTGTGGCATCAACAAAGCTAAGCACAAAGCTGCTTACAAAATATAGGGTGTTGCTACACCTCCTCCTGACAAGGGAGGGCTTCACCCTAGACTGATTCCTTGGAAAAAGGAATATCCTTGGAAAAAGGAAATCCTTGCAAAAAGGATCATCCTTGGGAAAAGGAAATCCTTGCAAAAATGATGATCCAGGCAACAATGATGATCCTTGCAAAAAGGATGATCCTTGCAAAAAGGATAATCCTTGCAAAAAGGGTGGAGGCAAAGACCTCTGAATCCTTGCAAAAAGGATGGAGGCAAGAGCAAGGCACCCCAAGAAAATGCATGAAAAAAAGACATTGAAGAAGGTGAAATATAATAAAATATCTGATCTAATATCAACATTGATATTGAAATTGCATATTGAATTTTTGGTTCCAAAACATTCTAAAAAATATTGATTTCAACAAACAACTTTTTCAATAAAATATATTGAAAAAACCTACATTTCAATATCACTTTTCTGATATTGATCCTATTCAATATCGGATGCTCAGGGTTCGAGTAGATATAGTATGATATAGTAAATAGGATTAAATAGGATATGAGACCATGTCAAGCCAGCCAATCGCAATGAAGTATTGGTTGATCCGCAATATTCCATGACTTGTCCGGCATGTCCGCAACTTCAGCACCTTAACCTCCGGCTTCTCCACCGCCTCCCTCACCCGCCATGTGTGCGCCACCAAAACCACCGCCACGGGCCACGCCTACGGTTAAGTCCCAGCATTCACCCGACTTCATCTGCTTCAACTCCGCCTGCCAGGTGGTGATCCGAAGATTTGTTCAGTGGTTTAAAGATGCCCAGGGCATCCAGTTACCACTATAGCTGGCAACCAGTGGTTCCAAAGACTAAAACCAAAGACCTAGAATCCCTGGTTCCTTATATAGTGGTAACTGGGATGCACTGGGATGTTCAAGACCCTGCAAGGTTTCTCGCATTTGTTCTGGCTTTGCCTCCCTCGCCCCAAGACCCACTTATCCAACTGCACAGACTTTCTGAAAGAAAAACGCGCAACAAATGCGCAAAGTGTGTTCTCAACTGCCAAAAGATTCCAGAGAATCCCTGAAATATTCAGTTCCAACGATTTTTGGCCCTCTGATGTTGGAGAGGTCCTCACATCTCCTACGGCAACTGTTGGGCACACGGTCCTCACATCTATCGATGGTCCCAGGCACTAGTCAGTTGCTTCGAGAACTCATTTGCTTACCAACAGTTTGCGAACATGAGCGAGAACTGTTTTACCAAAATGAGTGAGAATCGTTTTACTTATCAACATTTGTGCTCAACTGTTTGTGCCAAACAAAAAACACAAACTGAGTCTTTTCCTCTGAACGCAGTCTGACTATTGTACAATCCGTCGAAGAAGTGAACACGGGGCAAGAGCCAAACTTGCAAACGTCCTTGAAGAGTTTCTGGTCGTTCGTCATTGGAATCGGTGCAGTATGATAGGCCAAGGGAGTAAATCACTATGATTAGGCCAAGGCCGAGGACCATGGTCCAAGACCCAACAACCAACTGTTGTATTGGTTGACCAACAGGTACTAGGACACACCCTAACTAGCACCATCCAAGCTCAGCTTGCTTGGACGGGAAAAATCCACACCACGGAGGCACAAACCAACGAATCCCGCCGTTCCCCCAGCCACCTGTAGTGCGATCGCCTTTGCACATAAGTCGTCCTCGCGGATGCTGAAAGCTGGACGACGCCCAGGGAATGGGGACAGTTAGGACATGGATGACATGGTGGGTGGATAAGTTTTGAATGAACAACATTCTAACATCATATTTACAGTAGTTATATATATAGTGTATATAGGTTGGGCATATCAGTCCCATTACCAGCAATAGTGGATTCTTTCCGTTTTCCATCTTAGTAAGGCACGTTTTGTGCCCTGAAACGACTACTTAAGGCTGACATCTCTCTGACCGACTGCTAGATCTTTTCGCTGACACGCTCGAACGAACGGATCCTTCCGACCTCTCTCCCTTCATCGGGTCTCACCGGTCGTCCTTGCGCACGGCCACCGGGAGGCAGGTCATCGGAATCCCCGCCTCCACCTGGAGACGGGTCCAGCGGTCTCCGGTGTTCGTGGAGACGCGAAGGCAGCTAGGAGGGGCGCAGGGCGGGGCGCAGGTACCTTCGGCCAAGACGTATACGGTATATACCCTAGGGCTCCAACCATATCCTCAGGTTCGGTGGTTAGACCCCCTGGCACCCACCCCAACCATCTGCTCAGGAGGTGGTTGGAGCCCTAGGGATATGTGTCTCTTTGACTGGGACTTACATTTTAACCAATGGATCCCCTGGTTGCCACGCCAGTGTGACTGATAGCTTAGTCTCCTTTGGCGAGTTGTGAGATACGGAAGAGAAAGGAAGATGTTTGAACTACGCCGCAGGGACTGGTGAGGCTTGGACTCCGAACATACAAAAGGTATCAAAAAGGCTGTGTCCACTCAGGGTTTCTGCACATTCAGGCCCAACTCAGATATGGCATGACCCTTCGCACCAGTGATTGACACAGTGACACAGTGATCACCATTGCCATGAGCCATCCTCTCATTGTCTGGCAGCCAGTGCTAGCACCTGTTGGTAATGGGGCGGAAGCAACTGTTGGAGCGGAACTTGGGGCCACCTCATCATAGCGGCTCAATCAACATTCCCTCTCGGCACAGTTGAATTCATAGTTCAGAACCAACAGAAAACCAACATGTTTGTTACCCCTTGTCTCTGAATTGCAATCAAAAGTGCCACGGGCGCTTGCTGTTGTGGCCTTGGCGCATAATCTGTGCGATGCAAAGCCTTATTAAACTTATGTCAGCTCCAGTTTGATTCAGCTGGTCTCAGGTGCATGTTGATTGTTTGGAAGATGTCAGCTCCAACGCCGGCGCCTCTCCAGGGTCCGACTCCAACCGCTGGAGTCAGTCGCTCAGTCGCAGCGACGCAGCGACCCGCAACGCCGGCGCCAGCTGGTGTAAAAACCTTGGCTACTAGCAACATGGTGCAGGATCTGGTGGTCCAGCCTTGCTCCATGCTGGACTACCAATGTAGCGACTTGTATACCGCTCACCATTTTTTGGAATTGGTACTGACAAAGCACTTTAGGTGCAACCTTGGTATTCCATGTATATCCCACCTGCACTTGCAGGAACTACACCGAACAGGTGGCAGCCACAGCTGTTGTATTGCGAGCAATGCTTTAACCACAGGTCCACAAACACCACAGGATCTGTTCGAAGCACCAGCACCGTCAGCATGAACTCCACACACTTGTAAAGCTGCTGCTGAAATCCACTCTGGGCTACTTGTTCAAACAGGAAATTCTCCCAGTCAGCTTGACTGGCTAGATTCCCAGCTTGTGTCTGGTAGTCATTTGCCCCAGCAGCGGCTCCAGGATCACCAAGAGTGCTGTCCGCCAACACTCAGCTGCACGAGTGCTGTCCCTCGCACGAAATCGTGTCCGCCAAACTATTTAAAAAGAGTTCTCAAGGCCTTCTTGCATCCTAAAAGCTTGGGTTTGGGGCTGACTTGACCGTGACTATTTGGACATCCCAAAACCTCCAACCACATCCCAAATAGACCCCCCCCAAACCCACCCCAACCACCCTTTCAGGATGTGCTTGGAGCCCTAGGGCATCATCGTTGATCGTCCGAGACAAACGTGACTGCGGATGATCTCTCTCCAGTCGAAGTCCCAGACACTCCATGGGACTGCCATCTATGCCTACATTGGCCCCCAAAACCACCCCAACCCTGGGAGTCAAAGACCATTAAAACAATGGTTGACCTGGTTTTTGTATTGTAAAATCCTTAGTTGATTGGGTAAAGCCTATTAAATTAATGGTTGTTGGAAGCCTAGGGCCAATGTATAGGCATATATGGCAGTCCCATGGAGTGTCTGGAAGTGGATGATCATGGAACCTGAGTACCACGCAGAAACCGGAACTCACCCGCCTGTGCGATACGCTCGGCACGGATCCTCTGGAAGTCCTGGCAGGTGTGGAGAGTTCGGTGAGAACGAGCCACTTGACCATGCTGAGGATGTCCTGAGAACGTCCGTTCTTCAACGCTTCCGAGGTAGGTCATCACCTGCATTCCATCCTCAAAAGGAGGCATCGTTTTAACCTGGACCCTATGGGGGTTGGCTGTGGCTGGGTAGGGTTGTTATGATTGGTTGGCTCGTACATGTTCGATCGGTAGCTTCAGATCTCAGTGGCAGCTATGGTTCGCAGTGGTTGGCTGGGAGTCAAAGATTGATGGTCAAGTCCACCGACACGTTGCTTGCTAGAAGTCTCTGAAGAGCTTGAGAAACTCGGACAAAACACCCGTCATCATCCATCATCATGCCCCTCTACTTCTTGGAGCTGCCTTAAGGCCCCAAGGGGCAGAAGACATGAAACCAGGACCATCATCTTGCAACAATGTTCAGTGTGACGAGAACCCAAGCAGAAGCCTCAAATCTTAATCCCTCTGTTCTATTTGACTAAAAAGGCTCATACCTCATCTACCTGGACGGTCGGTCTCCCACGTCATGCACACAATGCGGTGACCGGTGCCGTCGTCGCACCACCACCGGTGGAAATCCACCGTGGCGCGGTGCGAGCCGCACCCCGCCGGCGCCTCGCGTTCCTGCGCGGTGCGCTGCGGCAACGCCAAGGAGCGTTGGAGGGCGCTCCGGCGCACTGACAAGGTCCTGGTGTTCGGCAGGCTGCGGCACCCGTGGTGGAGCACCCATCTTGACACAGCAACTCTCAAAGACACAGCAACTCTCTTCATTGGTCCAAAAGCGGTCTTGAGCCATCGTCCAAATCACGGCCACACACATTGCATCTCTACAAATGATACAAAAGCAAAATTGGTTGGAAGCTCATGGAGTGATGAGTAGCGAACCATATGCAATGCAGTCTTTGCACAAAAAAACAACTAGTCCGAGAGTAACATGGACACACAGCACATGCAACTCTTAGGATTCACACAAATGATCCTCGGTCTTCTTCCCTTGGTCAACAGCAAACACCTTATTAACCGGACAGTCAGATCATGTCAGATCACAACCCAAACAATGAAATAGACTCTTTGCGGATCAGTTGGGGTGGTTGTGAGTTCTTGAAGGGTCGGTGTTTGTCAATGATCCAGTTGCGTGGATTGTTGGGGCAGGGGACTCGGGCGACCTTCGCCCAAGAACAACAAGGTGGAACCGCAAGCGAAGATTTCACATCCATCAGAACGCGCGTCTGCGTGTGTAGATCTGTATAAAATCTAGAATTTGGAATCTACATCCTGATCTACATGCTGCATGCATATTATCTGGTAAGAGTACAGGCCTCACAACATCCTAGTACATTACCAAGCAATCTCAACTTCATCCAACCAAAGTAATTAGCATTTGAACGCTTTGAGCTTGAACCCCTGCCTATTCATCATCAACATCAGAAGCATCATCATCATCAAGATCACTCCACAAATGTCTTGGGAGAACTCTGCAGGCCAGGTGATCATCCTGGATTAGATCCTCAACCCAATCGCATCGAAGTGGCATGGCATGGTTTCTTAGGTGTCGACGATGGCCAGAAAAAAACAAGCTAACTCGTCACGGCTCTGACCTCCAAAAGACTTCTCACATGTTCTCAACATCTTTTTGTTCAGCTAAAGAGCCAACCAAACACATGGTCTATAGCCATGTCTACCCATGTCTACCCTGAATCGATGGTGTACCCATGTCTATCCATGTCTATCCACAGGTCTACCCACGTCTACCCATGTCTACCCAGACGATACACCTGACCAGGAGTCTTATCCAGTGACCTCATCCGATCTCACAAGACCACTTTCAAGGTCCTGGCAGGTCAAACGATACATATCGATACAGTACATTATGGTCCGGCCCCAAGTCAATGGCAGTCTTTAACCTCACCTTTAACGTAGTATCGAGGTCCTTGTGTGTAACAGAATGGCTGATCCATCCCAGTCCCAAACATGGTAGGATCCATTCACCATCGAATGCACCCCTGAACATGTACTTATGGAGCATTTATTTAGATTGGGGAGATTTTATTGGTCAATGTAACGTCAATCTCCAGCAATCTCCAGCTGGGCTGCCTAGTGGAGGAAGTCGAGGTGCCCGAACGTCCACAAGCCCTGGATGAGACAAACCAAACCACCCAACCACTCCGGGTAGGTCTGGGTCGTTCCAGTTTCCAGGAGTTCCCACCTGTCAAATGGGCCACAGAAGCACGATCCACCCGGTCACGCGTCTCCTGCATTCGGTGGCCGCCCGCACGGTGGCCGGGTTCGTCGGCTGCAGACCTCGGTTGGCGTCCGCGTCGGAGCGTCCGCGTCCGCGTCGATGGTGTTTGGCAGGCCTGATCGGTTAGAGCGGGATCCGGGACAGGACGGGAAGATACGGGAAGTACCCTTCGATTTGTTTTCCTGCTATATGAGAGGTGAAAAAGCGGGTGTGAGTAGATCATGAGAAAAAGGGTTTTAGGCTTTGCCTGAACTCACTACCCTTATAACTAGTTACTAGTTGGAGCACTTACTTGGGCCAGTTGTCCAAAAAGACGCAGCTTGAGTTGGAGCAAAACAACGTCAGGCGGGCCAACACCTTGAAGACGGAGACTCACTCAGGACCAGGTTTCACTCACTGCCACAAAAGAAAAACACACAAAAACATGAAACAACAAGAGAGATTCACTCACTCTCACACTCTCCAGTGTTTTTTTCTTTTTTTCAGGTGATTTCAAGCAGTGAGAGATAGTGAGAGACTCTTCTCTCAGATCACTCAGAAACCGATCACGTCCAGCCCTGGGGGCCCTGGCCCAACATCGCCATCTCTCCGAAGTAGGAGCCTTCCTCGTACGGCTCGCCGATGACCTTCCCGTTCTGCACCTGAGGATGGTCACGCTTCGCCGCGCGCTTCGCCGGGCACTTGAGTTGTCGCCGAAGAAAGGCGGAGCGCCAGCGGAAGGAGATTGGAGTTTGGAGAAAGTCGTGGGAGAAAAAGTCACTGAAATCATGATCGTTTAATGGAGTTGATTGAAACTGCTCATCCGAAATTGTGGGGCAATTCCCATCAGAGTGTGACATGAACAAGAGACTTCACTTTCCTGGGACACCATGTCGTTTGAAAGCCGTGGAAAAGGGGAACCTGCGAGAACCCACAAGCATAAACAGGATTTCCAGTGAACTCAGTGGTGTTCCGTGGAGATAAAGCTGTTGTTCCCAGAAGACAAAGGTCTATCACATCCAGTCTTTGGATGTCTTTGGATATTCCCGCTTGACTTCGGACATGCAGGACCAGGAGGCTTATCGATACTATACAGAATTCAAGCCATTTGACGGCTGAAACTGAACAGATTCCAAGACCACTAAAACCGGAACTTGGAATTCTATGTGACCGCTAAATAACCGGAATTGACCGCAAAAAACTGAACAAATTCTGCTAACAAATTCTATTGGGGATGTCAACCCAACTTTGTGGCTCCGGGTTCAATGACCCACAGCCACATGCCATCACTGCTAAATGGAACTGCCATCACTGCCCTCACCCCTGTGCCTCGATCCTAGCTTCACCGTCCAAGAGCACCTGCGCAACCACTCTTCGAACTCAAGAACATGAAGTAGCTTCTTGGAAATATTGAAGTCAAGGTGCTGGGCTTGGTGGTACAAGTCTGTCATATCAAGTATACATGACTCAACCTCCAAAAAGAACAAATATGAAGATTCAGTCCTGGAATCTTGGAATTGAAGCGTGTTTTAATGGTGATTTTCAACGCCCTCTGGAAGACATCTGACAAAATCTAAAAACATCAGCCTCAGGAACGTATGTGGGTCAATATAGGGGTCAAAACAGCTTTGGGAACCTTCCAGCTGGGCAACCGTTGGCCCAGCCAAACGACTAAACGGTCCAAAATGGTCCATTCCCAACGCAGCCACGCAGCAGCCGTCCCAATCAGCAACTTGTTCCAAGGATAAGACCTGGATCAGACCCGGAAGACCCGGATGAGCATCGAACTCCACCGGTCGTCGCCCGCCCCGCCAGCATGGCATCGGTCTCAGCGGCTTTCTGAGCGATGACCTGCAAAGGGTGAAGGTGGGAATCTGGTAGCCGGAATTGGGACCTCTCTCCCTTGGGATCCAGTCGTACCGAACCTCAGGTACGACTGGGCCCTCCTGGCAGCTACATGTCTCAGTGTCTCCCTGCTCACCGAACCTGAGGTTCGGTATGACTGGATCCATGTGGTCTTACAAGGTACGACTGGATCCATAGGGTCTGAGAAGGTACGACAATCCAGGGCATATAACGCCCGAGAGCGAGGTGGTTTGGTCCATGAGTCCATGCGACAAGAAGACCAGTTCCAGTGCAGTGTCCGGGACATGCCGCAGGATCCAAGCAACATGTGCAAAAAGGAACTGAACAAAATGGCATGGCATGTCGTGAGAGTGTCTGATGTGGTATTATTTTTTGATGTCTGTGTCCCCCATCTCCGTGGGCAACCAAATGAGCCGGTAATCGAAACGAATGAGACGTGTCGTCACAATGAAGGCTAGCTGCCACTTGACTCACTGACATGGAAATGGAAGCTGACCCGTTGGAACAGCATCTTCCTCTACAAACAGGATACCGGCAAGTCGGAGAGTAAAACATGTTTCAAAACATACTTCATGTGATTCCCAATTCCGATTCTGGCACTGTCGATCCAGGCACTTGATTAAAACAAACAAAAGTAATACACGGTCATAGTCGGGTTCTCCTGAAACCTCAGTTTCTTCAAGTTCGATACCGATCTGATGGAACACGCTGCATGCCAAACCATGGAACTTGCTTCGTCAAAGAAGGTATCCTGAGAGTCTTGAGAGGTACTCAGTATCAGTTTCCGCAGACTCAATACTTTGCTAAACAGTCTCATACTGTTTATCCTATAGACCAGTACAGCGTGGCCAGTGTGTCGCAGGGTTCTTCTCAACAAGGGTGGATGGGAGACATGTTGTCCGTTTCAGGATGAACAGGGGGTGAACATGTGTTAAACATCAATGCTCAAAGGCCAAACCAGCGTTGAGATAAAAGCTTGCGGCAAAATGGACCTCGTGGCGAGACATGCAACAGGACACGTCGTGAAGATTGCAGAAGAGCAGGCACCTGTACAGGACCTCGTGCAGCACGTCTGTTGATGTTGATGTTGATATATCGAAACAAAACATACAAAAAAGCAGGAAACAAACACGATCTCCCGATACAGACCCGATCAGGTATGTTCAATTGCAGGCTTTGGACCCGCTTTGAGGTGGTCTGGGGTTCACGACTCAGAACCTCACCCCAAAAGAAGAAACAAAGCGTGAACCCCAAACATGAAATCTGCAGCTCATCAGTGCTTCCCAAAGGAATTGCCACCGGACCCGCGGCGTGCTTCTTCGTGTAGTTCTTCGTTCTTCGTGCCGCTTCGATCTTCGTGTGTCCAGAACATCCCACTCTCAAACACTACATGGGACTGCCATATATGCCTACATTCAGGTGGTGCCAGGGGGGGTCAACTGATCGGCACCTATTCCAGTCCCATGGGCTATGTCTTGTTCTCAAAAAGCTTCACAAACGTGGCTTCTTCATGGCTTCCAGCACCAGCGCGGTGCCGCGCACCCCACGGGACCTCGCCACACGCACAGCGGCCTCGCCGGCGGCGAAGGGCTTCTCAATGAGCGGAGCAGCCAGATCCGTCAAGAAGCTCAGGTCCTGCAAGTTCGATCCGGAGTCGGAGAGGGTCCGAGATCCGAGATCCGTTTAAAAGCATCTGATGGGTGGACCGATTTGTTGGGGGGAGGGCAGGTGGGAATCCCCACTCATCCTTCGAGAAATTGGGAAGGTGTTTTTGAACGTCTATGATTTTGAATCCCTTGAAAGATGACAAATACCTAAAAAAACGTTGCTAGTTATAAGGGAAGAGGCAAGGGGCAGTTGACAAAGTACAAATGCCAAGAGGCTGTGTATGAACACACTGCGACTCAAGTCTACAAGGAGATTGCCCGAAGCGACCCGCAAGCATGCTTCTAGCAAACAAGCACGATGGTACTACAGTCCACCAGCAAACCAGCAGCAATCTACGCAATTTTCAGCACACCACCAAACCTCAAGTCATCAAAGGCTGATCCAGGATGATGACAATGACACGAGTGACATGGCCTTCTAGACCAAGTGCCTTCACTGAAAGCCAGTTCTTTCTCACCGCTATCAGTGCCATGCCACTATCACCTTGTCCAAGATTCAAAGGTTTAATGAATCTTATGCAAGAAAGGGATCATGAACCAAGGAGTGACACATGCAAGTCCAAAACACCAGCCGCGAGGAGTGTCTTAGGCTTGGATGGGCCGTGATTCATGATCTCCTGCAACTCCAGTAGCCCTCTGTGGCCGGGCATGGGCGACTCCTCGCCTTGTGAGTGTTCTGGAGGTGGAGGTGGATGCCCAAGCTTCCCTTGTACCATCTCCAAATGGTGTGAAGAAGCGGGCCAACGCTTCAGAGCTCTTGGTGCTTTGGCATTGGCAGGTTGCCCAAATCCAAGACTTACATTCTCGTCTCAAACACAGGTTGCTCACCCCAGCCAATCTTGATGCATCAGCATCTGGCCATGATCGCAGCACCACGGCGACTTGGTGTTGACAAAAAAGGAATCGCTTTGTCACTGATGGGAGTCGCTTCCAGCATGCTTCACAGTCAGGGAGTTGCACCCTGGATGACATCTCCAATGCTCTTCACAGTGGCATGAATGTTTGGTCCTGGAGCAGTGAAACAACCCGTGGTGGACTCCACCAGGTAGATGGACTCTACCTGCTTGATGGCTTGGGGTCCCCTTCGATCGCGCCTGGAATTCCATCAGTCAGGAGTCAGGAGTGATGACATACAAGCAACTGTTGTCCTGAGAATCCTTATGAGAGTGATGCCTTGACATGATCGAATCCTCATCATAATACACCGCGTGCAAGACCTCCTACCCCGCTGTCTCTCACCGCTGTGGATCCGAGCTTGATGGTCATCAGCTGTGAGTTGTTGCCCTTGATTGCAGGAATTGAAACAGCAGCACCCAAGCAGCAAACCAGGAGTCAAAAATCAGCATCACCACCAGCAGCAACGAGCAATGCGGCTTTGACAGCGCTTCCACCAACACCTTGCTGAGGCAAATAATGCAACCACAATTTTGACTTGCATCTTCTGCACAACCATCTCACCAAAAGAAAAGTAATAAATAAAAGCACAACTAAGTTTGCAGGGTTTCCCTTTTCTGGACCTGCCCCGCTTAGCCCCTAGTTACACAACTCATTTCATTCGCAGAAACTAACGTTAGCCTAGCCTATCAGCGGGCTTTCGCAATATTGCAATTGATGTGTCGTTTCAATTGTGGTACAGATCAGAGTCAGGGATTGCTGGGATCTCCATTTCCGCAAATTCCGGGGGCCCAAGACTGGTATTCTGACAGAAATCAACGAAGATCCAATATCTTTGGCCTAGATTCCCAACACAAATCGCTCTCAAATGGCCTTGTAACCTGCAAACTTCCTGATTTTAACTGCATATCATTCTTGGAATGACTCCCAGAGTCCGTTCAATTCACAACCCTATAGATACCCCTTCGCAAAGAAGATCCAAGTCTAAACAACCATTCACGGCGTTGTTCACCCCCTCAGCGTACCTCTCAAACTGCCTCTACTGCCAGATCCATGAACATCTTCCACTGCCGACATGTTTCCCACAGATTTCTTTCCCATCTCGGCGCCGGTTCGGTGCCCCGGCGTGGCCCTGCAGGAGACTGACCTTCGCAAGTGCAGGGATCACCTGGGAAGTCAGTCACGATCTTGAGGTGGTCGGCGATCTTTGGGCGAAGTCGAGTGGAACACAAATTGACACAAGACACGGGTCGACCGACGTGACGGTTTTTTTCGACCGTTGTGCCCAGGTCCTATTTTTTTGCAGCCAGGCATGCTGGAGAAAAGGGCTTTGGAACAAAGATTTATTGACCCTATCAGTTCATGCGATCCCGCAGTGCACATCAAATCACAAAGCGATTTCTGAACGGTCCTGAAACTGCGAGATTCAGAAAAGACGGTGGTGTCGCTGACAGATCCCTACCTGGGATCCCTGACAGATCGACCTCCTGCGCCCACACACACAAATAGATGGCATCTACGATGGCATCATTAGTAGGTCATTGAGGTCCTCAAGCTTCAAGTAGACTCAAAAACACACTGCGCACACACACACACTTTTGCAAACACATGAGATAAGATGGCTTGAATGGACTTGATCTTACGGTCGCAAAACGCCCCGTTCCAGCTCGCCCGCTCCGTTTGGCTCCCCAACACGTTCGCTCAGCCACTGGTTGCGGCCTCGGTCGCGAGTTGCCATGGGCCATGGTCGAAGTGATCCGCCGAATGGGCGATCTGTCATCCATCCCCCAATCATCGCCCGTTTGACGCATCACTTCAACCATGGCCCGGTCTGTCATCGCCTGTAACTCCCAATCAAAACCTGGTTTTGAAGAGTTACATAAAATGGTCATACATCATGCATTAGCCTGTCAGAGTGGTTCAAAATGGCATAAGAAAACGATTGATTACAGTATGTGATTACATTGCAATCCCACACATTCTATGGGACTGCTATATTTGCCTACATTGGGCTGGTTTGGGGGATCAATGGCACTGTCAGTAAGTGCTCTACACCCCTGGGATCAGAAGATTCCACTTTTCGAAGCAGGGCAGTGCTCTTCAAAGGCATCCGCCAGGTTTGGTCCAGCTGAAGATTGTTCTGCGGAATGGCAAGAACAAATCATGATGACTCCAAATGTCAATCACACATGTGTGTTTTTGATCCTTTGTCTGCACATCTCTTTGCTTCTGCTCCAGCCAACATGTTGTTGATAAAATATATATAGCTTCAGCACCAACGTTGTGAACCAGTTCCCCGCGCTCAACGCATCAAACGGCGCGAAATCTTTGCTTTCTTAACGCATTCTTAACGCATCCACTTCATGGTCCCTCGGCCCAGGGCCGCTGCGTTCTTTGGGACCTCCTGTGGCTGCAAGTCAACCGACGCTGAGCCGACGCCACCGGTGCCGACGCCGCCAACGCGCTGGGTCTCACGGGCGAGCCATGAAATCGGCATTCTGCTCCCGGCGACTGCAGGGCAACGAGCCAGCCGGCGGTGTGTTCGTTCGGAAGGGAGGTTAATGAAGTATTGGATAGATGTGTATGCTTATAAGTTATAGTGACATTGAAGGACCTATATTCTTCAACCTCTGTTGGAATCACTTGATGGCGAAGGTGTGTGGCCTGTGAGTTCACAGCACGACCGGTCTCTCAATACCCAAAAATTGGTGAGAACCCCAAGACCTTGATTTAAAGGTCCGGCCCCTACTTCGGAGGGTCCAGCGTCGCGCATGTGGTGAGATCCTGTCACACCGAGTCACCAAATCATGGCAGTTGACCATCGAGTCATTCGAATTCAAGAGTAGCAAGGAGCTAACTATGAAAGAGTCAGAACCAACGGAAGGTCTCTGAATCACGTAGTGAGTCAGAGTCAGCGGAGGAAGGTAAGTCAGGAAACCTGGACATGAGTGCGGACACTTTGCCCGGAAGCGCGCTGAAGGACAGGGGACCTACAGTACGAAGCGTTTTGTCAAGAATGAGTTCGGCAGCAAGTCAGCCAACTTGAGCGGGAACGTAAAGGAAGAGAGGGACCAGGGGGTCCGGACGCATGAGTCGGACCGAGTCAGGAAAAGAGAGATAAAGATAGGCCAGGAATCATATCTGAACATATGAAGATCATTCGAGTCTCTGAAAACATGTTCTGAGGAGCAAACCACACAACAAGCAAGATGTTGGTGGGTTTGTTCCTCAAAGGACGCAGAACAGCTTTCTGTCCTCCTTCCTTCAAGGAAGGTGCGACGGCATGCAAAGCGACCACCCTCTGGTGCGCATAGACTCACAAAGTTTGTGACAGTTTGCCGAAACAAATTCTTGCAAGTCTACGAACTGGGTTTAAATCTTACAAGACTATAATAAGACTTATAATTTATATAGATTACCCAGTCTTACTATCTATATAAGTCTTACAAGTCTGGGTCCCTGGGTCCCTGGGTCCTTCCCTGAAACCCACGTGATTGAAACGCTGCATAACGGTGTTGTTGCCTTTCCTTTTTCTGCTTTCTCAGCAAAACTAAGAACACATACCAGCACCTTCCGTTTGGGGTCTCCAATCAATAGACTACCCTAAACTGCTTGTGCTCCACTGAGCACCCTTAGAAGGTAGTTAAGGTACAAATATAGTAAAATATATGGTTTTGGAGGCATATTCTGTACAAACGGTGCTTTTTTGGATAGGCACTCCATGAGAATCATGTCTGACGATCACCCTGAAGTCCTGGCAAACTTGGATGCAACCCTGATGTCAAGAGTTCAGCAACCTTCTTGAAACTGTGGAAGAGATATTCTATAGGTCAGTGATTGTTTCTGTGGTAGTCTGTTTTATTGATAGAGGCAGTGAGAAAACAAAGCAGAAAGGACCCAGCTCCAGCGACAAACGCATCTAGTTGGACCTTGAAATTCCGTGAACATGGCTAATCTGTACGTGCGGTAAAGGACATCAAAAAGGTGGTATCGGTATCGTATTTTGTTCCCGACCCAATCTTTTTCGAAGGCTTGTGTTGACTTTGGGAATCAGCACTCCAAACATGAAGGCCTATAGCTGCGCACCCACAGTGGCTGCTTCTTTTTGTACTGATTGACAGAGTCCCACATGTGACACAAAGCGTTCTATGGCTTAATTTTCCTTGCGTCTGAGACCCATGTTCGGAACACATGTGGACCTCTGGCCTTGTAGCACTAAAAAGTGCTCATATATGGATCAGAATCGTTTTGGGTATCGTTTGTGACGCTGTGGTTTGTCTGCGCCACTAAAATGCGGTTGTGATGCAACAAAAAAAAACAACATCTAAGGGAGTGCAAAGGATATTTGTCTCAAATTAATCAACATCAGGTATTGTCTTTTGTTTCTACAACCTATCATTCTTGAGGTTATCTATGATTATCCTTACTACCAAGACTAGCATGTTCAAAAATGATGTCCAGCCTCCTTTAAGCTACATAAGGACAGGTTTTGATAGGTGCTCATATATAGAATCCCTAGCCTTCCGTTCGACCATTCCAAAAATGGTTGACAAATGCGCTAGTCGTCGTCATGTAGTAAAACAGCTCGGTTGTTCGGGATTCAACCTATTAAATCCATGGTGGGCCAGGAAGCCAACGGGGAATGTGAATGATCGGATGCGACCGGGCAGCGATCGGGTGCGTGTCGGTGCGATCGGCGCGGAAGGAGGACAAAAAACGCGTGCACGGAGACGAAGGCTGAAAGGTACGAAAACCAATGACTGCTATCGTGTGAAACGAACACTTAAACTATCGTGTGGAGCAGGATAGTCTTGGCCTCTACATGCCTCAACCATAGACGTTCACGAGGCTTGGGATTCTAAAAACTAGGGAAACAAACGCATGCAAAGGCCCTTGAGCTCCAGTAGCCAAGCATGCAAAATATGAAAGGGCGAGGCAACAAGGCGCCTGGCAAAAAAGAGCACGAACCGCAAAAGAAGTGAAGCCCTCAGCCGACTCCAAGAAAACCCTAACATCCCTAGAGAGAAGTGCAAAACCATGCATGTTATGGGCCGTGACAACATCCATCGTTTCCCTACGTAGGTGGCATCTTGTGCCCAAGTGGGAGCGGTCTCCGGAAGTTGCCGAACTGCATGAAGTCAAACTTGGACTCTCCATCTGTGATTTTTTTCATACACCCCCTCCAAACTAACAGCAACTGTGAAAATTGACCCCTGTAAAACTAGTCTCACCTACCACCAAGTGGTTTTCAGGGTCTGTGTAATCTGCAGGAGGGGATAGGAACCTTTTCCAGCTTCTTCAGTTCGTGACCGATCGAAGTCAAAAAATCATCTCAAATAGCTTTGAAGAAGCAGGAACACTTTCTCTTTCTTATTTGTGGCACATTCATTGTCCCCACCGGGTGAAAAGAAGCAAACATGTCTCCAAAAGAGCTCAGGTGGATGTGTCTACGCAATTAATATGTATCTCCAATTTTTTGAATGTTTAGGTTCTGAAGGCTGTATGGTTAGAATGCTCTTTTCACACATCTGGCTGAACAATGTCCTTCGTCGAAGTCTGAAGAGTGGTGAGCCCTTCTTCCATTTCTTCACTCAACATGTAATTGTACACCAGGACGTTCAAAGTTGCCTTTTGAGATCCTAGGATGAGGTCCCTTATGCCTGTAAATTGTCACTTAATCACAACAAGGAGGTTACATTGAAGGTCCTGATATGCAATGATAATTATATATATATTTGCTGGAAGGGACTCAACAGCTGCACTCCCAGCTGTCTGCACTTCTTCGTGCCTGTCTTGCAACTCTTCAAACCACTCCGTCTCCTGCCGACCGGTGGCACTCCGTGCGGTTCGTGGGAGAAAAGGGGCGTAGCGGGCAAGATGCAAACAAACATATTGAATAACCCAAATACACCATGGGACTGGAAGGTCCGCCTATCTAGAATCTAGAACCTGAGTGACATCTATTTTGGATCACCAACCACCCAAAATATGGTTGTCCCCTATTAAACAGAGGTCAATTAGGCTCTATAGGTATATACATTGACCAATATGACCAATAAAACACACCCCAATTCCAGGCAAACATGGCCGACTTCCGAAAGTGTTTCACTGCCCTCGATGTCGAAAGTCGGAACTCGGGGTCTCCCAAAACGCTGCGTGCCCTGTGTCTTGCCCTTCACCCAGGTCTCTAGGCTTGGCTCCGAGTCTCCTGTGGAAACTTCTTGAAGGCGCTCATAATCGATGCCCCTTGGATCCGCGCGCAGTGCACGTACCTGGCGGTCGTGGCGTTTTTTTGGGCTGTGCCAAGGGGGCGGACGAGCCGAAGACTTCAGGATTCGGGACGACCATCCGTCAACGCAACCCATGAAGTCTTCGGCTCCTTCCAACTTCGGACCCCTGAACCTTGATCGCTCGCACGCTCAGGGGTCCGAATCCTTCCTGCGGAAAAGGCCACATGGAGTGTAGAGCAGTGCTGGTCAGTGCGTCCCACATGGGAGGATTCCAGTCGAGTTGGCCAGACTCGTCTGTTTGATGGTTTCAACTCACTTGAACACCATTAAGATATATCATCTCAAGTAGACATGATATATTAATTAAAGTAACATATAACATATAATATATGTTAAATGTTTATAATATACCATGCCGTTACTTGAGATGATAACCAGACCTTCAGCTTGTGGCCGAACTGGAGATCCCAGGATTTGAGGTCACTAATAGTATAATTAGGGGGCCTGTATCCTTTTCTTGGTGCCACAAACAAACACTCCAGAAAAGAGCTCACGAGCTTGGTGTTTTAGGTCGTAGTGATGGTCACCTGTGCGGGTTCTTAGCCTCGCAACACACGGTCATGTCCGCGCATTTACCAGGTCGCCACCAGGTCGATCCTGGGCCATCCTGGGTCCTGCCCGAAAAGAGACACACAAGACCCTCAAGAATCTGGACCCGTGAGGGTACGGAGGACCCCCAAACATACACACGACATTCTTGCGACACAGGTTTCACCTCTTCCAGAATCATTCGTTGGATCATGCTGGATCCCTGTGGTCCCGGGCAAAACACAAATCTTCATCCAAGCATCGTAATGAGGTTGCGGTGGCGGAACCCTGTGCAGTTCCCATACAAGACGGCACGCTGCCAGGTGCGACAGACCCTTTCTTTTCGCGACCAGATTGATGTACACCTCGCTTTGATCTGTACAGCTTGGACCAGCCAAAGGATAAAACCTGCTGGCCTCGTCGAAATCTAATCGATGAGGAATGCCAAACCATGCATGGGATTGGACTATTTACCTATAGTGCGTTCCTTTATCAGCTTAACATCGCCTCAATGTATAGGTGAATATATTCCATGCATGGATTGTTAGGGAAGGGTAGAAAGTCGAACCCGCCACAGTCGCGCGGTCTGTGGACTCTGGACCAGGCGCGGGGTCTGCTCTCCGGGAATGCTTCGTCCGTCATCGGCGTCAGAAGGTCTGCCGGGGATCAGGATCATCTGGTTTGATACCCCTCAAACCAACATCTGTTCAAGAGGATTTGCACCCCAATGTGATTCTTGGTCATTTCTTGTTTCACAATTAGAGGGTGACGATGTCTAGTCTCTGCAACACGGTTGATCCTCGTCACAAAAACCAGGGGGGCTTGGACTTCGCCCACAGGAGAGCACGGATCTGTCCGACAAATAGCTTTGTGAGAGAAACTGGCTGATGGTCTCTCAGGCCAGCAAACCGTTGGCCATCAGCACAGCATCATGGTTTCATGTGCATTGAAACTTGAAACTGGACTGGGGCATCCTTACTGGATGTTCCCTTCAGTCGACTCGATGCCAGTGCTGGCCGAACTTGTCAGTGGACAGGAGGAACATCGTCATTCAAGGGAGCAGGGTATATATCTCAAGCTTCCCAAGAATATAGATATGCCTTTAAGGCTCACTGTGGTCAACTGCAATCTCATGGTGGACAAGTGGAGAACTGCATACCCAGCAAATGTCTTGCATTTGTACGTGTTTTTCTTTTTGGGGGACATACAGCAAGAAACATCAAGAAACTACGATATAGACTGTAATACAGCTGGCCCTACACGTGTGTCCCGGCATCGAGGCATTGAATTCTTCAGTTGCATCTCCAAGTACGCCCCCAAGATCCGACTGCCGAAGTGAACAAACATGACACAGTTGTTCAAAACAACCGTTAAAGCAACATGTGCATTCCACGCCCCGGCTAAAGCTTCCATACCGTTTTCCGGGGGCCAAAAGGTTCTCTTTCAAGCCAACACCATCGGCTTACCAGACGACGCGAGGGGCAAGCCGAGCTTGCTTGATGCCGGAAGCTTGGAAGGACCAGGCTACGGCGCGGGCGTGTTTCGCCGCAAACCATCAGTCGGAAGGTGAGTGAATGCCTTGAAAGGATCCGTCAAAGAGCAGTTTTGGAGCTCCAGCCGCTGAATTTTTCTGTGTGTTGTTGATGTTGAAATGCATCTATATGTCTGCTGTAGTAAAGCTATACTGCAGAAGCCTGCAGAAGCCAGGCTTGCATGAAAAACGGCTCGGTATTAGACGAGACCTAGTGCCTCATCCTCAGCGGCACGAGACGAGACCATCTCCGGCTTCTTCCTCGAGCGGTGAATGCCTCGGATTCCAGCTCGAACCACTTCCTGCAGCTCAACCTGCCCACGTTTGCGAGACGTACGGAACGGGCCGGAGGATTCATCCTCGGGGCCCTCGGGGTCTGGGGGTTCTCACCGATCCTGATCGGTTTTGAGGGACCTTCAAGGAGTCGAGGATGAGGTCCCTTACTGAGGCCTGTCAAAGGTCACAAGCAAATGACTCCAGAAAACAGGTCACGAAGTGAAGCTCCTGGCGGATCTGTTGCTTGTTTTCTTCAATTTCGGTGAGACTTCAGCTTCCCCGACTGGAAGACCGGGTCGGCCCCAATTCCCGTGGCTGGGTCTGACGTCCGGCGACACGGACCCGACTTGACGACCTCGGTCAGGGCGGGGACGGGACCTGAAGAGGAGAAGAGCGTGAGCGATCCGTCCGCTAGTAGCGTCCGTCGCGTCCGCTAGTAGCGTCCGCCATCTCTTAAGATCGGCACCTGGCGCCGGCTGGCTTTAAGGGCGGGCGAAACAAAGAACGAAGAGCGAACAACCCGGGAAACACCCCTTCCCTTCAAGCGCCTCCTCCAATCGTACTCGTGGGCCACATGGTGGGCGCGGCGCCTCGCCGAAGGATTTCAAGCGCTTCTGTTCCACGGCCTTCAACAGCTTCTGGGGCCGCCTGCGAATGGCGTTCAAGGTCCTGGCGGCTGGAGCCCCCCCGGGCGGGGGAACCCAAAAACCGGAGCGTGGAACAACCGGGGTTTCCACCAGCTTGAAGCAGTCCAAAACCTCAAGAAACCCAGTGTTGAGATGAGAGGAAATGTTAAATGATATTTCACGTGCACTCAACACCCTCACTCAGCACTCAGTCACCACCTGCCAACATCCTAATTAGGTCTGGCCAGTTCGGAAAGCCACAATCCGTCGACTCGTGCCGTGCCCTTTTCTGCGCCTCGTCAGATTCTGTATGTGCAACTGGTGGTCGTGATAGGTGGGTGCTATGGGAACCCCGACGGGCACGTCCACCTCGCGCTGACGGAAAGACCTGGCCGTGGAACAAACAAGAACTCGACGTCAAAGCCGGTGAACAAAAACAAACAAGCCCGGCCGTGGATCCAGCGTTGTCCGCTCTGAGAGGGTGATTGGAGACACGTTTATGTCTGATCTTTGAAGCCAAGTGAGGGTCCAAATACCTTCTGAGAAGGTGGCAGTGGATTTGTAGGGTAGATCAGTGCACAGCAGTTGCTTTGCAGAGTGAGTTGAACGATATTATAAGGCTATATGATGAGTCAGTTAAACGACAAGCACGAGATTGGCCTTGCACATTCGGTTGAGTTCCATTGATTTCCCACATTGTGACGCGATTATCGGTTCCGTTAACGCTCTTTCCATTCTGTTTGGCACCAAGAGAAGGAAGACCTGAAAAAAGGACTGCTTCACATCGATTCATAGCTTGACCATGCTTGACCCCCGTACCGATGCTTTGGATACCGCTTTTTGCAGCTGAGATCACGAATACTTCTTCAAATCCTCCCACTGCGTCTTTCCGTCCTCCGAAACAAAGTTGCTCATAATGTCATGGAATTCGTCATTGGCCACCTTCCGCGAACAGGACGTCACGCGCAAAATGGTCGCGGAGGTTCGGGACGACAGCGGATCCGAGACTCCAGACACGACACATGGGACTGCCAGTCCTATGCCTTGGGGTGGTTGAAAGGGGGTCAATGGGGGCGGCATATCATGTGGCAGTCCCAAGTCCCATGTGTCGTTCTGAAAGCACTCTGAACTGAGACCGACGGAGACCCGACGGAGACCCGACTGGAGTCGGTGAAGATGGTGCACCCGGGGCCTGGCACGAAGTGAACACCTAGGACTGCGGGTTTTGGGGCCCAAACGATTTAGACTGGGGAGACCTTCCAAGTAGTCGACCTCCCTGGAAGAAGAGCAGAAACAAACCAAACACCGTTGGGCCAAGGGCGGTGAGCCTGGAGTGCGGGCTCTGCCGCTCTGCTGTTCTTCAGCGGAAGAAACACACTTCGACCTCGAATTCGATGGAAGGTCTCAATCTTTGCAGAGGCCAAGCTACTTAACCCCCATTTCCTCAGGTGCTTCGATTTCCGAAGCGGAGCCCGAAGGACAGGATCAGCTCTTCCGACGTTCCGACGCAATCTTCCGCCCCAGGCAGGATCGAACTGAACATGTGTGAACTGTGAACCGTCACAAGTTTCTATAGCAAAGCTTGCACTGGCAACGCGTTTTTTTCCTCCGATCCGCCGCACCGCATTCGAAGGCCAACGATCTCACATCCAAAAGTATTGGCACTACAACAGCTCGTTGACATGGGCCATGGCCACTTTCTACTCCACTTTGTCTACGCCCTACACTGCCACCCCCTCTGCCGCCGACTGGTGAACGATCCAACTCGCGAGGCAGCAGCCCACCTTGGCGCTTGCTCCACAACCCATGGTCTTCAAAATTCCAGCAACAGGTATTGCTGACTGGTCTTGATGCTGAAAACTCCGGAACACAAAGCTGAACAAGTTCAGCCACGGACAGCGCAGAATGTTTCCTGGCAGAAGTGATCTTATTGCCACGGACAGTTGAGGCATGGATCTTTTTGAGGCCCCTTAGCATCCTTCTTTTGGTGTCCCTAACTTAACATATGGTTCTTTACGAGGCCCGGACCGCTTGATCTCCAACCCGATGCCACTTGGAACGGGGTGTAAAACCTGCTATTGAGGCTCCTGGTGTCTTCACACGAAACCGAACAAGTCGACCAGAACGAGCTGCATGCTGGCAACTCATGGGGATGAGTCACAACTGGGAGCCCTGTTTCTGTTTTTTTTAACAAACAAATTCAAAGAAACAAACAGAGTTTTGCCCCAGAAGTCGAACCACCATAGCCTTTACCGAAGAACCGTTGTTTTACTAAGGGTTTTACATTACAAAACCAGATCAACCATGTTAAACATAGTCTTTGACTTCCAGGGTTACAGCATTATACAGCTGTTATAAGTTATATTATGTTCTTTTGTTCTTCCCCTGTTGCTTAACCATCTCAGCCTTCGCTCTTTGGCCTATCCTATCCCAAAAACATAGAAAAAAACATCCCTCCCCCCAAAAAAACTGGTTCTGCTAGTGGCCATGTTCTCCTTTTCAGAACCCCCTGGCTCCATGTCCGTCACCGATCTCCGGGGCGCACGCGCTGCGCCAGGCGCGCGCCGAGGCGTTGCGCCGCGTCGCGCCCATGGAGCCACCCTCGCCGAAGACCTCGCTCGGCTGCAGCCGCGCCTGAGACATAGGGAAGCGCGCGAACGACGAAGGTCAGCAAATGAAGACCGAAGACAATCTATTTTAACTATTGTTTTGCTTATATTGTTTTATATGAAGGACCATTTTGTATGAAGACCATCTATTGTTTAGATCGTATTCTTTTGATGGTTCCATATGGATCTTGGATGATGTCGAAACAACAGGAAACACCTGCTATTACCAGGGCCCAATGGGATGATGATGGTTAGGTTCCAGGCCTTTCTCTAAACCATAGTAGTGTTTCCCTAACAAGCCATGGGAAACAGGAATCTTTGCCCCATACACTGGTGTGACGGTGTGATCCTATTCACATGTTGGAAGGGTTTCTCTCATTCTGCGGTATATATTCCAGTCCCAGGAAAAGGCTGGTAGGATGGGTTGGAATAGGGTTTATAGGGTATATATTCCAGTCCCTGTCTGTCTCATTCATTGTTGGATGGCTTTGGCTTGGGAACAGTGCTGGTCTTTGGACTTCGCTGTTTATTGGACCCATCGATCCTGTTCGTTGGAGGTGTCAACTGCAACCGGAGGACACGTCGGACGCCGAGCGTTGTGGCAGTGGGTTGGCAGTTGTGGTGACCCTGATCTCACAGCAAATGGTTGGTGGTAGCGGTAGAGATGGGGACAGGCAAAGGCGTAGGGGTAGATAGGATTGAAGAATCAAAAGGCCCTAATCAGTGTTCTTGTGAATGTTCATCATGTTGTTCCTTGTCAAACTAGAAAACAACATTGACATTATACAATTGTCTGCTGCAGATTAGTGTGGTGCCTGGCTATGTCAAGCTGGCTTCTAAAAAAAATATGCCCCAAACACAGAAATCAAACAACGTATATACGTCAATGGAGAGACTCTTATTTGGGTCCCTGAAGAAGTTAGGAAAGGAAGTTTGAGGTCCTTGGTGATTGAATTCTCTCTTTTTCATGGTCATTTAGGGGCGGTTTGCAAAGGTCCTTGCAAATCAACATATTGATAGTCCTGAACAAAACAAATGTCCTTTGCATTCCTTTGCTTTAACTGAATCATGTGAAATCTAAGCATACTAGCTGCTCCCAAAGTTGACCTACTACTTGACGCATCTTTATGCCAAATGTCAACCAGGGAGCTGCAAAGCAATGTAAAGCATGAGGCTTTTGAACATGGCTCACCTCCTCCATTGTCTTGAAGGTTGGAAACCCGCATAAAAAAAACACATGCTTTTGGCCATCAGATTGGAGTCCTCCTTAAGCGCTGAAGAAAAGGACTCTATGAGGTGCTATCGTAAACACCTGCTTGAATGCCAACCGAGTGCAAACATGTGCAAACGCCTTTTTTTTTCAACATTGAAATTAGTACGTGTTATGTTCATGCGGTGTCTGTCAATGGGCCTGGAGAACAACCTGTTCAAACCAAAGCTGTTTGATTTCTTGCATTGGTCAAAAGAAACACCATCTGCAACTCGTGAGATAATGGAGGCCGGCCGTGACCTATGAAGAAAAAGGTTCTCTACGTGTACACATGGACCATGAACCTGTGACCAAAATCAAACAAAAAACAAAAAACAAACTCAGGATCCCGAGATTGACGATATTTGGGAGTACCCTGTCGTGAAGAAAAGGGAACGCAACGACTAGACCTGATTGATTCCTTTTGAATTTTACGAGGTTTTATCTTCATTTTTACACCGTCCCAAACCATCCATGTAGGAATGGTTACCTGGTATAATGTTACCAACATTATAGCATTCCATACATGAGTGTCCGCGCGACATTTGGAATGTGTGAATCAGCGCCCGGCGATTGCCTCCACAACACCCAAGTCTGTCTCAATGTCCACTTCCCCAGCCAACAGCACATACATGTCACCTGGCGACCAAGTGAAGCAGCACTATGCAGCTTTGAACAGGAGCAGTTGCCAAAAGCATTCAGGTGGGACATTCAGGTGGCCTGAAAAGTCTGAATACCGAAGAGGTGGCTTTTTCCGAGCCCTGGGTTTTATATCCGCCGACCCCAGCCGATGGCGGGGGAGCGCGTCAGAGAACACTGCTGCATCCGGCTGCGTGTATTGGGAGTGAGCCTCTGGAGGTCCACCTGCCGTCGGAAAGCACGGCTTCTGGAAGCGGACAAGAAGAGAAAGCACGGGTTCTGGAAGAGGACTAGAAGATGATTTTATTGCTGTCAGAAAGCAACGGTTGGCAGTGAGAGAGCCGCTCCGAGGACGAATTTTTGGTCGTTATTTGTGTGGACTAAGATAGTGGAAAGGCATGGCGGGACAGCTCCATCCTGCGGTCAGAAAGCACGGCTTTTGGAAGCGGACTGAAAGAGGAGAAAGAGGAGATTTTTATTGCCGTCAGAAAGCAACGTTTGGAAGTGAGAGAGCAGGGTAGACTTAGAGACTTAGAGGGTGGAAAGCTGTGGCGCGGGAGATAGGCGGGAGCTCTGAGAGCAAGTCCGAGGACGTAGTTTGAGTCGTTGGTGGTGTGGACATCGGTCGAGGCCGGGGGGCATAGACACGCGAGCTATTGGTCTAGTTGCTTCACCGTCCAGCTATAGCAGCGGCAAGGATCACCATTGGTGTGTGTTGTATTTGAAGTCGACCCACCTCCTTCGTGGAGAACACCACCGTCCCACACTTCGGACATGCATGGGCGTGTTTGCGCCCTTGCACTATGCCGTCGGAAACACGGAACTGGTTGCCGCAGACAGACAGGGCGATGGTCGATCCGGCCGGTGTGGATTGAACTATGCGTCTGTTGGGAGCAGAATGGGCAAACGTATAAATTGGTAGGAAGGCGTCCCTTCGAATGGAGCAGTGCTGGACGAGGTGGGTGGCGGCGCAGCGGTCTTCTGGGTGGGCAGCGTCGGGGTATTTGCGTGGCTCTGTGGGCGGACAGACATAGACGCCTGCCACGCCGGATCTGCGCGTGCACATCGGCGACCATACCTCGTCGTTGGGCCTCCGCCAGGCGTTGACGCGTATGAGCCAGGCGGGCAACAAGCGATCAAAACAAGTCCGAAGGATCAGGTCCGCGAGCTTCACCGGTGCACCAACCAGGTATTTGAACATCAGCCTTGGCTTTTCTAGAATTGGTTTCATTAGACCACAAGCACACTCATTTTTAATCCCGAGTACCTATTAAAAAACACTCCCCAATTAAAAAACACCACGTCCGAACCCCTAAATTCGGTTTATATTTGGTTTTAAATTGTCGCCCTTTCAAACCGCTACTAAACTACCAACATTGCCGACTTTGGAGGAGTTTTTTATTAGGTTCCAAAAACAACCGTAACTGCCCACCTCTGTCCGCCCTGTCTATCCACCATGACACGCCGCGCTTACACCAGCAGGCTTTCCTTCCCCCAATGGCACGGACTCACGCAAACGCACTTGCCACGGAGGTCACGCAACACCGCATGGCACAGCGACATCACCTTTCGAAAGCTTTAGCTGTTAGTCTACTGAAGAACCACTATTCTAATGAAGGTTTTTGTAGGGGAAAAGGAAGACCCTTCGATTTGGAGCTTTTTTGCATTTTTGATACGAGTTTAATAAAGGATTTTATATAAAAGTTTACTGATTTACTTTTTGGTTTTGAAGCTCTTCCCAGATGACCTATTTTGGACACCCCGATTTCAGGGACCCCCTATTAGAAAAAATGCGACCGATGTTTTTTTAAGGGGGGGGGGGCCGTGTTTATTATTAGGGGGACCGGATTAACTGTCGCACTTGTGCAGCGCGTCTCTTGTAAAACAGTGTGAAACAGAGTGTGAAATGTATATTGTCAGCTCCAGCATCATTCCTGTGGCTTTTTGTCTGGATTTTTTTCCGCAGATCTCTGCTCTTTCATCTTGTCTTTACGCTTGGCTTTACGTGCTTCCATAGCTGCCTCACTGCGCCGGCGGGGCTTGTTCAAGTTGTCAATATGGAACACAAGAGGAAAATGAGCATCCCCACATGAAGGTCTGTCTCCAAGGTCAGCAGCAGTCAACCGACCAGGGCCTTTTGAAATGCGCACACTCCAAGGGGGCGACTCGGGGTACGACACAACGAAAGCAACTTGGCAGTCGCTCTTTTTGCTTGGTTCCATCACCTGGAATGTTATGTTCTTGCCGGTCTTCTGAATGGCATTGCGGAGGGCTTCTACAAGACTTCCATTATTTCATGCTTGGTTGGCACCCCCACCAATCAAGGATACTTCGTGCTCCAGAGCGTTCTGGAACATTTCACTCAAAACGTGTTTGGCCACCTCGGTCTTCTCAAAACGCTTCGACTGCACTCTCTGCAAAACAAAAGCTTAGGTTGAACAGCTTCCAAGTCCTTCCCTACAGAGCTCCTACTCTTAAGCTTAAAAACGTGTTCAACTGCAGTTCCACATGCATCACACGGACAACTCTGGCTTCGGTCTTCGATCCAAGGCTGGCGCCCGCGTTCGACGAACGAGTTACGGTGAGCAACCCACAAGATACAGCTGCGGCATTCGACATGTCTGCACTCTAGTCTTACACCTCGATCTGACCTCGTACCTGGTGGATGTAGTGCGATAGGCTGTACGTGCTTTGGATCTTGACCTGGCCTTTGAACCTTCTCTTTTTCTTCTTCGGACGCTAACGACGCCCAGGACCTTCTCCTACTTGACTTGGCTTCAACTCTCAACTGACGATCTGACGGCCCGAAACAAGCTCCAGTTCCAGTGGACTCGAGGCGTTCAGCCTCATGCAAAATAGTTCCAAAAAGCTCATGCTCATTCGACTTCGATCGAAAACAAACAGCTTCAGACTGCTCACACCCACTCGACTCCAATCGAGCAAAAACAGCTTTCTCTCCATTCGACTCCGGTCGAACAAAAACATCTTCAGGCTTCTCTATTCGACTCCGATCGAACAAAAACAGCTTCTTCCAGGCTCGACTGCGATCGGCCAAACACAGCTTCTTCACGATTCGACTCCGATCGAACAAAAGCATCTTCTCGATTCGAATGCGATCGAACAAACATGGACAAACGAAGTTCAGAGAGGTCACCAGCTTCACTCCAAACTTCCTCTGAACCTTCAACCTCATACGCCTCAGGCTCTAGTTCCTCTGACTCTAGTTGCTCTTCCTGATACTCAGCTGCACGAACACCAGCTTTTCCTTTACCTTTCTTGCTCTTGCCTTTTTCACCTTTCTTACCTTTTCCTTTTTCACTCTTTCTTTCCTCTTTACCAGCTCCCTTCCGGTGCTCTGGGGATCCGGAATTACCACCTTTACGATGGCCTTTCGACCGACCTGAGCCGCTGCTCAGTGATCTCCCCGGAGAATTGGCATCGGATCTGCAATGTCTTGCATAGTGACCCTTCTTTCCACACTTCCAACACTCTACGTGAGGATACTTCTCTTGACTGGGATGTCTGGAGGGTGGGTCTCCACCGAATGCTGACAACGGTTGATTCACAGTTCGAAAATCTTGAGAATTCAAAACAGTTCTTTGGTGAAAATCCAAAATGGCTTGCTTCACATGTGCATACGTTTCTCCTACCGAATGCAACTGACAATACCTTTTGCAATCACCATATCGTTCTAAATTCAAAAGAATCCATCGAAACTTGTCTGGCTCAGAAATTTTGAGTTCTGCAATAAGACTGCTATCTGTACTACAGTTCAAAATCCTATCTTGTACATGGCGTGGGCCTCTTTCTCTGTTGGCCCAAACAGGGGTTCTGGAACTATAAGGACATGTTCTGAAACTATAAGGAAATGTTCTGGAACTATAGGGACGTGTTCCAACCCTGCTTCACTCAGACACTAATCCGAACAAATGCTCTCCCACTCCATAAATAGTACATGTATGACCCCGGAACACAACAACTTCACAAGGCAGCATTCGTTTTCACCACCTGCTTCTAATCCATAGTCCACACAGCGTCTGGAAAATAGAGTTCTGAACAAAATCATCCACCAATGACCCGTAGAGCAGCCACATCCAAAGCAGAAAGTAAATTCATAGGGACCCGGACAGTTAAAGTGGCGGACTGGGCAATTTCATGTCGGGTCACCAGAAAAACAGCTGCTTTGCAGCAGACAGGCTCTTTTGGCTCAGTCTTCCTTGTCCTTCTTCTGACACTCGCCACTCTTCTTCTTCTGTTTCTTTTCACCCCTAAATTTATTGATTTATATTCCAACTGCTTGCCCTAACTATATGATATGCGAATATATATAGATTCCCAGAGCCTCACCAACGTGGCCCAGTTGACAAACAGTTCGGAACGGTCCGGACGGTTCCATACTGTATGGTCTCGTGCCAAAATGGCCGGACTGTAAAATACGGTTCGGAACGGTCTCAGAACTGCATTCGCAGTTTCCAGAGAACAGTCCGGGACGGTCCGGGACGGTTCTGTACTCTACACGTCGCCACCCCATCTTCTCTGAAATCTGGACCCCTGGATAACTCCAAGTATTGGGGGTTTTCTTTGACATCTTCATGGCGGCCTGCTTGATATGCTCATGCAGAATGTCAAGCACTCTCTTCTCTCGATGGTTCAGCACACTCACATCATCCCCCGAAGAGATTGCGTCACTGTAGGGCTGAAGGCCTCAGGCTCCAAGCCAAAAAGAGGCTTGAAGAGAACCATTGAAAACTGCCGCAGCCATCACATATGATCACCTCCTGAGCCTATGCCATGCGCAGACACGTGGCCGTCTCTGTTTATCCCATATGTCTCTTACTTGCCCTTGAGGGTCAAACGGCTTCTGTGGCTTTGCCCTCTGTCCTGGCCATGGAACTGAAATGCCAACTGCGTAGTGGAATGGGCGCCCACCATCGCTGCAATGTTGAATTACGCGGGAAGGTGCACTGAAAACATGGGTTACAGTCTGGAACCGTCCGAAA